TATGGAGAGAAGAAGGAAGCTTATTATGTTATGAAAAAAGAGAAGTATAAAATTCAGTTATCTATTAAAACTAGTCACAATTGGGTAAAAAAATGTGCTATTTGGATCAATAGAATGGGAGAAAAAGGAAAAAGGGGCTTTTCACTAAAAATATTATGACTATAAGAAATAAAGTTTAAAAGAAGAAATTAAATAATTGTATACTAAGAGAAAAAAGAAGCTAGTTATTGTATGAAAAAAGAAAGGGAATAAGATTCAATTATATCTAAAAACTAGTCATAATTGAGTAAGAAAATTTACTAGTTCGATTTTCAGGCATATTTGTATCAATATAAAGGGCGAAAGAGAAACATCTGGGGCTTTTAACTAAATATATTTTGATTAAAAAGAATAAAGGAATAATTAATTAAATTAAGAAAAGAAGGAAGGTTATTATATTATGAAAAAAGAGAAGCATTAAAAGCAGTTATCTCTAAAAATCTGATGATTATTGGGTAAGAAATTGTACAATTTCGATTTTCAGGCATAATTTGATCAATATAAAGGGCGCTAAATTAATAATATATACCACAGGAAAATAGCAGCTAATTATTGTATGAAAAAAAAAGATTTTAAAAAAAAATAGTCATATTTGGGTAAGAAAATGTCCTATTTCGATTTTCAGGCATATTTGTATCAATAAGAAGGGTGTTCACACAAGAAGTGTATCCGGCAGTCGCCATCCAACCGCCATGTAATTCCGGAACAAGTACATGGAACATGAATTTCACCTCACTTACACTAATACATTGTAATGTACTCTGAAAATATAGAACAGATGAAAAATAACCTTCAAGCGAACAAAACGTGTTTTTTCAAACCTTCTTAAGAAAACTGTGCAGACCAGAAACGCTCCCCAACGATAATTCATTTCGTAGAAGTTCATCTGGAAGCCCTGCGGACGCCCTACTACAACATTTGGTCCTTCGAGCCGGATTCTTCTTCAACATTTGGCATATCCAGTTCGCCCCAGCAAGCATTGGTGGATCTGCAATAAAAGGTAAGTAAAGGTAGTAGTAGATAAGTAGCAGTGCAACTAGCTCAACTTGTCCATTGCCAAAATTCCGGTAACTCCAGTCCGATTGATTAATATTTTATATATATATTAAGCGAGGGTCAGTTTCATTCAAACAAACAAAAAAAAACTCAAACAA